GAACGAAAACACGCCTTCCCGGTTTTTGGAGAGCAAACTTGGTCCGCGAGGGGAAACAAGGATATAGCTCTTTAATTCAGTCGATTCCAGAGCGACTTGATACAACACAGCAACTGCCAGCGAAAGAGCTTCATAGGAGGGAACAATGGCAGCCAGGCTGTCAAAGAGCTCCACGAAGGGTGGCAAAAGACCCAGGGTGAAAAAGAAGTTCCAATGCACGCCATACTCCGTCACATGCTCCGCATAGTCCAACCCCTTCACGCTGTACAGCCTGACCAAACCCAGGATAAGTAGAGGGACCGAGTGCCGCGTGGATGCTATCAGCCGCTGGCCTACCGGAGTCTTCCGAGCGCCATTGCTTCGGCCCTTAAGCACAGAGCGAGCAGATACTACCCCGCCGGAGAACACGAAAGATCCCACACCCAGATCCATGAGTGACGTGCCCCAATTTTCCACCTTTGCAAACCGCCGTGGAAACGCCTGGAAGTCCACCGCCAAGATGGCTACACAGGTAATGATCATCATGGCTGCACGATATGTTGTCAGAAATGGGTGAATTGGTAAGGATTCAGGCATGTCCGCTGCATTCCTATCGCTTTGGGTCGGTTTCGGTGGAGGTTTAGCCTTTTGCTGGCTGCGGGGAGGTCTCGAGTTGAGAAACAGCAGGAGGGCGGGGGCGATCAGCAGGACGTTCAGCGTCCATGGCGCAGAGGAGTAGACAGTCGTGGCAAACAGAATGGCCAGTACATTGAGCAGAAAGTCGGTCACCAGTGCTGCTGAGCTGTAAGGAGTGAAGAAGGAAAGGCGTGATTGTAGCGCTGACCATAAGAGAGCAGCGGCCTAGACCAATCCCGTAGAGAGTCAGCTACCACTGCCTGGGGGTGTGTGACGTATCCCAGGCCATTGCTTCTGGACTGGTGAGATCGAACAACTGTCAAGGGGAAGAGAAACGTACAGGTGCGACTAATGTGACAGCATTGATCTCAAGAATGCTACCACCAGCAAGATCAGACACGAAGGCCTCTTTGCGAGCCTTGTAGCTGGGGTCCATAGCTGTTACTTGTTCGGACCAGAAGTCCAAAAAGGCCAAAAGACCGATAGAGGGGTAGAAGGGAAAGGCAAACAATCAAATGTGTGCAAAGCTGCAGATAGATTGGAGTTAATCTTGCATCAGAAGCCCTACCCACCGATAGTGAGACGTGGCCGGCGCAAGGTAGGGAGCAGCAAGTCAACAAGTCAGTCAAGTCAAGGCAGAATGCAAGCAAGTAATGTGAGAGTTGCGATGACGCGCGAACAAAACAATCTGGCCGCTTTTAGTCTGGAGGACCTCAGGCCAGCAACTTCCCTCATTGGGGTTAGGCTGTACGGGGGAGGCTTGTGTACCTGGAAAGAGGAATACCGAGTATGGTAATCCGGTTACAGATCCATACACATCCATACAACTCCCCGCCTTTCTGATTCAACCCATCCAAAAACCGATTCTCATTTTCCCTCTTGCTTGTCGTGCTTGTGTCTTGTCTGCCTCGTCGACGGCTCAGCTTTTCCATGGTCTTCTTTCCCTTTCTCTCAGCAAATCATCCTCTGCCATCTTTCCTGCCTGGGAAATATATTTCCGACTTGTCAATCAATCACCGTGTCTCTGCTTCAGACAAAATGGTGACTAACCATATATCACTGTTCTCCATCACATTGTTCATCCCAATTACGTTGCTTAGAGTGCCACACAGAATGAGCTCATATGGCTGAGTGCTCAAGAGTCTGAAACACGGAGACAGGAAAAGAAAAGAAGCAATCTGCTGCTTAATCTGCAATCGCAGGGTCTGTTGTGATGGATCCCATGCTGGGGATGCAAGAAGACGAAAACAAAGGGCAGAAAAATCAAAGATCAGCCAAGAACTGTATCGAATTATCGCGCTTATGTGCGACAGACCGATCATGACTGTGGCGTGCAAGGTTTTCATTGGCAATTGATTACCACCTACCACCTGCCAGGCTGCCATTGCTGGAGCCTCCACAATATTTCCGATCTACATTCTCTGGGGGGCCAACCAGATGCTAGCAAGGGGGCGTACCGAGTTTCACCCACGGAGCTTGCTAAGCATGATGGGGGGCACTAACTAACAACTACCATGCCACTAGATGCTTATACTATACTCCTACTGGAGCAGGGATGAGAAGGTGAGCCCCGGGGGGGACGGAGGTTCTCCGTGTCCCCCTGGTAGGACAATCACGCAGGAAACTGCTTTAGGCTATATGCGTCGTTGTTTCGAGCTAAGGACCGGTTGGGTCAGCCAAGGTTTAGCTCACAAGATATGCTGTGCCGCTTACTACATTATACTGAGTTTATGGTGCTTGCGTTGACATGAACGACGAATGGACGATTAATAAAAAATCATGGAATGCACCCACCACAGACCAATCAGTCGGAGGGAAATGAATGATCACCAGCGAGTTTCAGTAAAGTACACGGCCGTCTCCCGTGCGGATGCAGCTTGGGACAATGATATGCAGCTATCAGGCCCACCGACCGGCTTTAGCACGGCTTTACCTTAGGAGATTATCTTTTTAGGGCCATTCGGCCGACGACCGGTATGTTGGTCTTCCGTGTCCGGGGTACATTGACACTACGAACCAGCTCCAGAACATGGTCTATTCCATTCTGTCTTGTGTCTTGGGCTGATTCTTGCTGGGACATTTTATTGCTGTCAATTATATATGAACCTGAGTTCTCTCATCCCTGCAAAGCCAAGTTTCAAGGGAATGAGGCTGAGCAACAGAAAAAGCAAAAAAGGGAAGAGCAGCAAAAGCGAGGGAGGGGGAAAAAAAGAAGTGGGATCCAGACTCCATTTAAACTTTTAGAAATAAAACCGACTAACCTGAGAAGGCAGGCACAATGTGCGTCATGCATCCACGTTCAGCCAGCCATTTCTCTCAGGGCCTTCTCATGGTGGTGCTCCCTTTTCCTTCCCTCCCGTCGGATTTTGCCGTTTAGACTCGGGCACATTGCCTACTCCATCCCTCCCGTGGTGATTTATTCTACAGAGGGTATTTGGGAGCCGTCGGTTTCGATGTTCTACGGGGCTTCTTTCGCCGGGCGTCTCCCGACACGAATCCCATCCGGCAGTCGATTGGTTCTGATTACTCAGAAGGGCTTTTCTGGACCAACCTTCCGCTTGGCGCAGCAAATCGTAGTTGGTTTTGATGGAGGACCTGAGTGTGGACCCGATCTACTCCTCCTCGTGGCGAGCACAACCCCAGTGCTACCATGGTTCCGTCTGAACCCAAAGGGGCTGATTGCCTAGTATCTACTCCCTTCCCAAGGCTCCGCCCTTAAGGAGTCCGATAGGAACATCCATTTCACAAAACCTATTCGGGTAAATCGAGGAGGTGTCTGCAATCGCTGGTACGAACAGGCGGCAAGACGTCATTTGCTCAACCATGGGTGAGCCCTTCCAACAGAGACACTCATGGGGTCAGGAGTGACTGTCCTGTCCACATCTGATAGCCTGGCAGATCCTGAAATCTGAGATTCGGGATCCTGGAACCGCTGGGGATCGTGCATACCAATGCAAAACCCGCAGATCGCTGGGAGAATGGTGGTCAGCCACCGTCGTACTTTGTCGGTAGTCTGAACAGCCAAAACCCACACCTATGGTCAGCTCCGCTTGGTCTCTGAACGTTCTAACCCTTATGGTCAAAGTTGGTCGCTCTCGGTATTCCCCCGTCCCGCCTGCACTGCAGCGGCCCTCCAACTGCCAGTTTCTGACTGTCGGTCAGTCGGTTTACCCTCAACTTGATCTCTGTTTTGGGCTTAAGCCCCGGCATGGTGCCAAGGATTACTTTCTCCTGAGGTTGAACGAACGCCATGAAGCTTCTGTATGTGCCCCAGGGCGGCGTCGGTCGCCCATGGTTTTCAACTTCGTTTAATTTTGTACTTTTTTTTCCTCCCCATTTCCATTTCCACATTTTCTTTTTGGGTTTTGCTTTTTTGGTCCTTTTTTTTTCTGTTCGTTCGCTTAATGAAATAATGAACCCGCTACTGAATCGGGTCTGCCATGTGGCCCGGAAGGACTAAGATCCACCGGATGGCCAATACTACTACTAAATGCCGTACAAGGGATGATACTCCATGCAGACTCCGTGCTGGACATGCTCTAGGATAGGAGAGGGACAGCAACAACGTGCCAATTTGTCTCTGCTCTTTCGGGGTAACCGGCATAACGGCGTCGGTACTTGACTGGTGTACGCTGCCGCCACGCAACCAGGCCAACCCGTCTAGGGTGTTGAGGGGACCCCCCCAAGTTGCGAATTAGAGCGTGCTTGTAGGTCGGGAGGGTCGGAAGGTGCTCATAGCGCTGCGCCGCTGACCCATCGTAAGAGCTACCTGAAGAAAAGCACTGCACCAAAGCCGTGTGTTTTCTCTCCCCCCCCTCCCCCTCCCCCTTCCTTCATGGGATTGGACTGCTCGAGGGATCTGCTTATTGGCGCGTCTTCGGGCCCCAAGCCAACGGTTGGTAACGAAAGTGTACGGTGTATTACTTACTTTACTGGTTTTACTGCTGATAACTAAGTTGGGGAGCTGGAGACTCCAAGCTGTCTGAGGCAGAGACAGGGACGATCTGGAGACCAAGCCAGGACTAGATCCTCCCAGGCCATACGTGCCTAATTATTGCCTGCACCAGTCAGAGCCTGTCTGAGCTGGAATGGGTCCTAGCAGCCATGCCCAAAACAGGCAGTTCCCTGATTCTTTTTCGTTCAAACGCTCAACAAAGATTATTCCACCACCGACCCCTACTAAGTAACTACTGTCTACCTACGTATCTACCCGCCCACCTTGTTCCTATCAGACGGCCTCTGTCCGTCCCCTTGGGTATATATATACCTAGTTTAGCGCGACCCACGCACTTGGAACCGCTATAGTCGCATCTTGAGAGGCGGGCTCAAGTACCTCTGGCGGTCCACACACCTGTCTGGGATGCATCACGTTGCCTATACGAATCACACCTATCACCTGCAATAAACCCTCTTCTGCTCTTCTTCTCACATCAACACCCACCTGATTACGATTTGAAGTGCAGGATGAGCCCTACTCCAGAACCCCCCACGGCCAAAAAGCGCGAGTCCCGTGCTGGGGCGCGTAAAGTGACGTCGCTCTCTGCCGAACAGCTGGAGAGGAAGCGCGCCAACGATCGGGAAGCCCAAAGAACCATTCGTCAGCGGACCAAGGAGCACATTGAACGGCTGGAGCACCAAGTGGCCGAGTTGAAAGCCAAGGGGGAACAATTTGACGACGTCGTCCGACGGAATGTGGCGTTGGAACATGAGATTCGAGCTTTGAAGCATCAGCTCGCCCTGGCTGGTAGGCAAGGATATTCGGGTATGGGTAGGTGGCCGGTCTCGTTCGTTTGTTTCAGCTACAGAAAGAACTTGAAATGGCTGACAGACATTTATTGCGCATCAACAGAAGGAACTTATAGCAATGCTGCTCCCGGGTCTATGCTCCCGGCCACGCAGTTTGCAGAGCCTCTGGGGATGAATCCAGCTTCTAGGGCCCCCTCCGTCATCTCCACGTCCAGTCGTGTCTCGGTAGGGTCGGAATGGCCACCCTATGGCACAAACCGGTCACCCTCAACATGCGAATCGAGCGAGGCGAATTATGGGAACCGGGCTGAACCGTACCTGTTCGAAAATCAACTTCAGCCGGCGAGCGCAATGTCTGTCGCGCCACCGCAGGTCAGCTACAGCGCGCCTGTCGGTGCCCAGCCAGACCCGACATTTCAATCGTATGCACAGGCATATCACACCGGGAACGCCACTCGTGGACCGGTAGATGACCTAGCACCCCATCCTCCACAGCCAGTTCATTACGTGCCTGGACAGCGGCCGATGTCAGTACCGACAATACCCACAGAAAGACCGGCAGGATATTCTCTCATGCATGCGCCGCAGCCATATCACCAACATACGCTTCCACCTCAGACCCGGAATGACTACGGCTATGCCTGGAACCCGCATCAGTCGTGAGACGATGGACAAGCAAGTGGGTCTCTCACGAAAGGAAAGAGGTTCTTGCAAGAGGCCAAGGCAATCGCAGTTGTTGCCTGGAGGCTCAGCAAGCCAAGCTATCAGATGATGGTTACGATCAATACTCTCCGACTCAACGCACGGGGAGGCCCTGGTATCTGGGACGCGAAACACTGCTGCGTACAACTACGCAAAACAACACACACTTTCGGGCTGGTCATATTACACAGGGCTATCACCAAATTGTCTGCATGAACTCGTGATAAAAGGCGCTTCATTGGATCCGGAAATTGGCTTGCCTCTCGCCTGGCATCCACCAAAGAAAAAAATCCCCAGGGGTCCGGTTATCTTGGTGGCATTGGCGGTCACCACACCGTATCGTGGAACAGGGCAGATCTGACCCGTTCAGTCCCAGCTCCAGCTCTCCCGATGACCCGCCCCAGCAGAAACAAATCCGTGATTTTCGGGCCGCGAACACGAGGAAAATTGCCGGCGGGAGATGATGGAACGGCAACTCCACGTTTTCCTCATGATTCGCTTGGATAGAGAAGGAGGGGGGATGCAGAGGAATCAGATTACATGATTCAATGGTCTGATTAGTCAATAGTATCTAGATTGAGAGAGAAAAGAAAGAAAGAAGAGAAAGAAAGTCGATAACCGAGATGCTACGAATCCACATGGTCGGTTTCAGATTCAACCAGAAAACCACAATATGATCATTTTCATCGTCGTAAACATCATCATCAGAGCCCCAGAATGACCCAGTGTATACTACCCCCCTTTTTTCCCTCTTCATGGAATGTATTTTGTAAATTTTTACTTTTTCCAGAACCATCTGCGTACCACACTTTCCATCCGATTAGCAAATCTTCCATTCATTTTTTCCCCAGCCGGCCCGCCGCCCACCGGCTCGTCTACCGGATTTTCTTTCTTTCTACAAGGCCCATCCATACTTTACTCGAAGTAGACAAAAGAAATCAACCCCAGCTACGACTATCCACCTCCCTTTCAAAGATGATTCGAGCTCGGCAGAGTAAGCGTTCAATCCAAAACTAGCACAGAAAAGAATAACACAGAAGAAGAAAAAAAAGAGGATCAAACCGGGGAGATCGGATCCAGAATAACTCCCGAAAACCCTCTCTCTGTCTGTTCTTTCCCACTATTCTTCTTCCAGTTCCTTCTTTCCTTTCCCTTTCTTGTGTAAGCTTCCGATCGGAAGCTGTATACCCAGTACCCAGTACCCAGCTTTCCATTTCTGTCTTGTCTTCTCCAACCGAGCCTCCATTAAAACTCTCTGATGATCCTGATTCAATTTCTTGCCTTGGCTCTTGGCCTTGGCTTGCTTGGCTGAGTCGAAAAAATATGATATATCAAAAGAAGTTAATGCAGGCATATTTCGGTATGATTATTATAGTTTCGGTCGGACCGGTCGGATACGTTTAGTTACTACTTACTGTACTAATCATATTTTCTTACTCTAAGTTACGGCAGTTGATCGTAACTTAAGTCAACTTTGGGTCGGATGGAGCCTACTACTAGCTTTCAGCCTGCCTAGGCTGCAGCAGCAGCCCTTATATTTATTCATCCATCTATCTATCTATCTATCTATCTAGTCTAAGTATAGTATGTAAATGGTTAAGTCTATTCTGGTTAGTTGTTTTTAGTTGGATGTCGGGGAAGAGGCGCGGGGAATTCGGCGTTTAATTTTATGAGTTCCTTTGAAGTGCACTCACCGTATGGAGTCCATACTGTAGAGTATGATTTAGTGCTGTAACTGTTGAGATTGTTTTTATCAGTGCGTGATTTTAACTAGCTAAAGTAGATTTGTAGTTGGACAACACAGGGTTAAGTTACTCGGCCGGTAGGATGTACTACGTACTTTTACTACAGTAAGTAGGGTGTCCCACTAAGACGTTGATCGACGATACCTACCTAAATACGTAGTACCTATTTATTGCCTGAGGTTTTCCATCATCTTCTTTTGCCGACGTGGCCAATTATGAACGGAAGGATGTAGTTTCCGGTTCATCTTAGCAGTAGCGGTAAGAGGGGATGTTTTCTTTTGGGTAACTACGTATGTATGTATGTATGTATGTATGTAACTATATCGTATGTATGTGCTTTGTAAGTTGTGGATCCCCATCTAACATCTGAGATGCATATTCGGATATGCGGGAATAAGGATGAGAAGATATTGGAGGATGGATATGTGGATGTATGGTAGAGAATGTAATCGGTTCCAGTCCCATGGTTTGGAATTTGAGTTTCTCGGCTAGATCGACACGAGGTTCGTTGACTTCCAAACCCTTCTTCGGATGTGAGGAATTTAAGTCATAAGAATACATAAAGTGACATAAGAAGAGGATAAATGTAGTATAGTATAGTGTGTCATGTGTATGTATCTAGGATGGATCGGATCTCAATCTATGAAACGGAACCATAAATCAAATGACGGATGATAACATGGATCAAGTGGGGGAAAAAAAGAAGAAAGAAAAAAAGGTATCGTTTCACTTAGCGAGTATACTGCTTCTGTAGCAACTTGGCAATCGTCTGCAGTTGAATGTTGCTGGTTCCCTCATAGATGGCGCCGATCTTGCTATCCCTGAACATCTTCTCGGCGATACCTTCACGCACGAAGCCCATGCCTCCCATCCACTCCACTGCGGAGCCAGCCACGCGGCCAGCAACTTGCGAGGCATACAGCTTCGCCATTGCGGCATCTTGCACGAAATCTTGTCCCGCTTCCTTCTTGCGTGCCGCGTTGTAGACCAGCGCACGGGCGGCTGCGATCTCAGTGTACGCTTGTGCCACCTGATGCTGCATGCCCTGGAACTCGCCGATCAGTTGGCCGAATTGGCGTCGATCGTTCCAGATGTATCTGCGACACGTATTAGCAATGGATATATCGGCCATGGGATGACTGCTTCAGGTCCCCTCGGAGATACGGGAGTCCCGCGGAGATATGGAGAGGTGGTGTTGGGGGATGCTTACTGTGCGGCATTCTCCCAGGCGCCGAGGGCCAACCCGGTCATCTGGGCGGCGATACCAATTCGTCCCTCGTTCAGAATGCTAATGGCGTACTTGTATCCCTGGCCTTCTTCACCAAGCAGGTTGCTCTTGGGGATCAGGACGTCGTCGAAGTTGAGCACGCAGGTGCTGCTGGCCCGGATGCCCAGCTTCTTTTCCTTCTTCGCAATGGAGAATCCTGGGGTATCCTTCTCCACGATGAAGGCGGTGATACCCTTGTAACCCTTGCTAGGGTCAAGATTGGCAAAGACAAGGAACACGCCGGATTCCATGGCGTTGGTAATCCACATCTTCGATCCGTTGATCTTGTACCCATCGGCCGTCTTCTCGGCCTTAGTCTGCAAGGCGAACGCGTCCGATCCGGAGGCCGGCTCCGACAGACAGAAAGAGCCGACGGTGCCAGTAGCCAGCTTGGGCAGCCATGTGCGTCTTGCCTGCGCGTCACCGTACTTCATGATAGCGGTGTTGACTAGGGTGTTGTGAACGTCTACAAGAACACTGACACTAGGATCGACGCGAGCAAGCTCCTCAATCGCCACAATCGCCGCCGTGAAGTTCATCCCCGCACCACCGTATTCCTCCGGAATTTCAATGCCCATCAGTCCCTGTTCGAAGAGTTGCTCGACCACGGCAGGGTCCATGGTCTCCGCTTCATCCATGTCTCTGACTTTGGGCGATATTTGCTCCTGAGCAAACTTATTGACGGATTCGGACATTAAGGACTCTGTTTCGGAGAGGAAGGTGATCGGGGTGGGCGTCAGTCCGGACAGGTCGACATCCCGCCGGCGAGAAGTGGTGGAAAACGCATGGGTGCTGCTGGAGGAGGGCGTTAGCAATAAGTAACGGCCATCATCGTGGGTGTATTGCTATGGCTCTTGTCCTGTTGAAGGCTGGTGACGGCCAAACTCACCTCACAGCTAGCCTGGCCGACAACGGTGGTCTTGCGATAAGGCGGGCGGAGGTCGCAGTGCGCGACAAAGGCCGCAACGCACGGGTAATAGACGCCATATCGAAATGGAACTGACTGGATTAACTGGTTATAGTGTGTAACTCGAGGCCACGGCAAGACACAAGGAGAAGAGGAAGGGAAGAGGTGGAAAGCAGGTGGTGACGGGGAGAGATCACGAGTGAGGAGCGCAGACGGGCCTCGGTTAAACGCGGCCGAGGGCCGTCGATCAGCCGTCTCCCCGTTACTCCAGCTCTTCCAGCTCCAGCTCCATCTCTCCGCATTTAACCACCTGCTGGGGCATATCTACGAGTCCTGTCAACTGGAAGCCATCCCAGATTAAATATATATAATTCTTTGAACGTCACTACCAACTTGTTTCAATAGGTTCCAGTGCGCCTATCTATAGCCCGAGAGATAAACTCCCAACCCCTCGTTCACATGCCATTCCCGCTCTATCAATTATCATATGCTTATCACCTTTTCTGGCTCAAACACCTTTGCTTGAGAAAAGTAATAGCCTCGCTGGTTCGCCACGATACGCTTCCCCGTTCGACTATCTGTAAAGTCACAGTTGTAATGCGTATGGCCAAATCCCCACAGTCGCACCTGGGGTTTCTCCCAGCACGCCTCTCCGGCGAGATCCGTCGCGAACGCCGATGATATAGGACTCTTCGCGTGCGCGGGATCCACCGCCAGAGGTGCAACAGTTGGACTGTGATGGGTAAAGATAACAATTCTATGATGGGGGTTGGATCTTGCGATTTCAGTGACCTGATCGTTGAGCCAAGCTCGGTCAGCTTCGTGAGCAGCGCAGTGATCCTCGACCGACCAGTTCTTGATGTAGTAAAAGTCATTCAAGCCGAAGCTAACCCGTTCCTCTTGCATATCGCTGACCTTGGAGTGAAACGTGCACCCCAGAACCGTGAGATCTGGTGCCAGATCATATCGGGTTTGGTCGAGAAGGACAAACTTCCCTAGGTTGTGAGATCCGGATTTGGTATTTTGCATCTGTGCTCCTTTGCGGGTTATATCATCAGAGAACCGCTTCAGCTTCTCCCTCACATCCAACCAA